CCCCTCCAAAAACTACATCAAAGTACACAGGATGTGTTTAGTATGCCCGGTCATTCCATTGTTACTCACACTTGCCAGAAATGCTGACTGCCAAAATGACAGCCGGGAGTTGCTGTTAAAAAAAAAAAGATCATCTGACAGTGTTTATTAACTTAAGTAGAGAGATACAAAGTAACATTGTTTATAAACATTGATCAGAGGGAGATAGAGATACAAAGTAACATTGTTTATAAACATTGATCAGAGGGAGATAGAGAGATACAAAGTAACATTGTTTATAAACATTGATCAGAGGGAGATAGAGAGATACAAAGTAACATTGTTTATAGACATTGATCAGAGGGAGATAGAGAGATACAAAGTAACATTGTTTATAGACATTGATCAGAGGGAGATAGAGATACAAAGTAACATTGTTTATAAACATTGATCAGAGGGAGATGGAGAGATACAAAGTAACATTGTTTATAAACATTGATCAGAGGGAGATGGAGAGATACAAAGTAACATTGTTTATAAACATTGATCAGAGGGAGATAGAGAGATACAAAGTAACATTGTTTATAGACATTGATCAGAGGGAGATAGAGAGATACAAAGTAACATTGTTTATGAGCATTGTTCGGAGGACAATTGGAAGTTACAAGGTAACACTGATTCTTTGGTATCTACTCTGTTTCATTCATCTGCAGATGAAAGGGATGAGCTTCAGTCTGCATATGAGTTAGTTAAAGCAATACAACACAAATTGCAGAGTGTTCACTTTAAGTTTATAATATAATATTTGGAAAATTTAGATCCATAGGAAGGAAAATGGAAAACTTCCGAATCTCTGTGAATGTCGGGGCTCGGACCACAGCCGTATTTAAACTGACCTATGAAGAGTTACTGAAACGGCGGCATGGGAGTTATGAAATGGAGATCAAAGTTCGACCGAAGCAACTGGTAGAGAACTTTCAGGTGGGATGGATCATTCATACAGTTGGGACGGGTCCCTCGTTTTGTATAAGGATTCTCGATCTAATGGCAGGAAGGGTTTAAATCTGAACTCCGATCGCCCCTTCAGTCTTGCACAGTTGTACCGGCTCCTCTCCTTTTATATCACTGCACACTGGGAGCTTCTCACAATGTGCATTAGAAGCTGCAGCAACTCAGATAGAGCCCGCCTCATTTCCTGGCTGGAGGACATTCAGCATCATCTAGTGCTTTCCTCCACAGCCTGACCGTCCCTGGCCCCTCCCCTTTCATTATTTGGATTTCAGTTCTATCAATCATGGAGGGTCAGCATCACATGTGGGCATTACTCAGGGTGGTCTGCATGCAAATACAGCCTGGACTGGACTTTACAAGGGGGAGAAGGATGCAAAAACAAGACCTAATGATTCCAGAATTCTTGTGAGCTGATAACTTCCTGTGCTCTCTGCCAGTGATGTACTGTTATCAGATACATTGATCCCAGTTCTCTCTGATGACTATATTACACCTCCGCTCTATGTTATGGAGAAGTGGAAAGGATGAAGTGTTCTGTGGATCTAATACACTTCCTGTGCTAACCCTACTTCTCCATGGATAGAGTACAATGAGTTAGTGCTATAACACTAGGACAGGAAGTGTGTTACTGGCAGGATTGCCAGATGAAAATAAAGAAAGAAAAAAAAACGATCTGAGAAAAGAAAACTAATGCAGCCGCCACATCTGAGGACTGGTAAGTGGTGATAGATTACATTTTTCCTCCAGCAGATATGTGGTCTATTCTCCCTTTTCCTGGCTGGTTTCTGGATGTATTGAATCTTCTGGAGAGGGATTCAGCCATTTGAGACCTGGAGCAATGAAAATAACTGCATCTTCTGGGGTGGGGAAAGTTGTAGGCAACTAAGGATCATCTTAGAGTAACAAACTGCAGCCAACAAAAAAAGAATTGCGTTAGGCAGAGGTTCCTCTTCGTGACCAGCACAGCATACAGTTGTCTGAGATCTGGGCTTGGCTGGGACTGAATTGTTTATGAATTGTTTGGCAGATTGATGTGGACATCTTTGAGCCTCAGGAAATCAGCTTTGTGGACGCTCATGGCACCTTCATCACAAATGAACTTAAGGATCTGATTGGGATAAGTCACTATGGAAACAAGGCCAGTCTTCCTTGAATGTCATTGATCTCCCTTTCCCTTCCTTGGTCTTCATTGATCTTCTTTTCCCTTCCTTGGTCTTCATTGATCTTCTTTTCCATTCCTTGGGCTTCATTGAACTTCCTTTCCCTTCCTTGGTCTTCATTGATCTTCTTTTCTCTTCCTTGGTCTTCATTGATCTTCTTTTCTCTTCCTTGGTCTTCATTGATCTTCTTTTCCCTTCCTTGGTCTTCATTGAACTTCCTTTCCCTTAATTGGTCTTCATTGAACTTCCTTTCCCTTCCTTGGCCTTCCTTGATCTTCTTTTCCCTTCCTCGGTTTTCATTGGTCTTCCTTTCCCTTCCTTGATCTTCTTTTCGCTTCCTTGGTCTTCCTTGGTCTTCTTTTCCCTTCCTTGGTCTTCTTTTCCCTTCCTTGGTCTTCCTTGATCTTCTTTTCCCTTCCTTGGTCTTCCTTATTCTTCTTTTCTCTTCCTTGGTCTTCTTTTCCCTTCCTTGGTCTTCATTGATCTTCTTTTCCCTTCCTTGGTCTTCCTTGAACTTCCTTGGTCTTCATTGAACTTCCTTTCCCTTCCTTGGACTTCTTTGACCTTCCTTTGTCGTTGTTGGTCTTCCTATGTCTTCTTTGGTCTTCCTTGGATTTCCCTTTCCCTTCCTTTCTCTTCCTTTGTCTTTGTCTAAGTTTGATATTATTTTATAAACACACTTTCATGCTAAAGGGATTCTGACTGACACAATGTATCCTTTTTAGGCACATATCATGTTTTCGCCCACCGTGCAACAGCAGCGTAAATGTTCTGTTTGCTCTGAAACTCTTCTGGATGGCGATTTTATCATAAAATACGATGTGAAGAGAGAAAAATCTGCCGGGAACATCCAGGTTAGTTTTCTGGGACCTAAAACAAATGTTAAAGGCTGGTCAAGAAAGGTGGAGGGGGGGCGGAGTCAAAGTCAGTAAGGTGAAAGCTGGCAGTATGTTGATGTCATGTGATCTCTCAGAGACAAACTAGTGAAAGCTGTGAGTGTTCTGATATCATATGACCATTGAGAGCCAATGTAGTGAAAGCTGGAAATGTCTTGATGTCATGTGATCATTTAGAGCCAATGCATTGAAAGCTGGGTGTGTGCTGATCCCATGTGATTATTCAGAGCCCTTGTAAGCTGGGACTGTTCTGGACTGTTCTGATGTCATGTGATATTTAGAGTTAATCTACTATCAGTATACTGATGTCATGTGACCACTCAGAGCCAATGTAACGAATGCTGGAGGTGTTTGGTGGTGTCATTTGTTCATTTGGAGCCAATGAAGAGAAATCAGACATTGTTCTTTCATGTGGTTTTCCGAATGCATGGAGTCAAACCTGATAATATGGTGATCACTCATGGACACTGACCACGTGATGATGTCATGAGGCGATTGAGAGCCAATGTAGTGGAAGTTGGCAGCGTGATTACGCCATGTGATCAATCAGAACCAATGTAATGAGAGCTGGTATTGTGACAATGTCATGTGAGCCGGCGTGGTGAATGCTGGTTGTGGAATGTCATGTGATCAGCCAGAGCCAATGTCACTACGCCTCAGGAGGTTTCAGAAACCTAGAGAGCATGCTCCTGCCTGTAGATGGACTTTCCATTACTATCATCGTCTCATTAACATCCAGGAATACATATTTATATCTCACTCACAGATCGTCAATGGATACTTTGTACATTACTTTGCTCCCAGCAGTCTCGCCAGGCTACCGAAAAACGTGGTGTTTGTGATTGACTGTAGCGGGTCAATGAGGGGGCGGAAACTACAACAGGTAACATCACATCAGTCATTCACTATGTCTTTCATAACATGTTGCAGCTACCGGGGACCTAAAATGCTCATATTGTACGAGGACTGTCTGATGTCGCCTGATGACTGTCAGCTATAAAATACATCCCAGAGATAAAAAAAATGGAGCAAACAGTAGACATGCGCACCAGCAAAAAATGTGTTTCGTTTCATTTTGATTCGGATTTTGCGTTATTTTCGTTTTTTGGGGATTCGGGTCCGAAAATCAATTCGTTTCGGCATTCGGATTCGGACTAAATTAGTTAGCGGTAGTCTGTAAGAACGTTCGTTTCGTTTTCATGTCGTTCGTTCGTGGCAGCAAAGTGACATTCGAGGGGGAAAAAAAATCATATCTTTTCCCTCAAATGTCATTTTGCTGCAACAAAATTTCGTCCAGACTAGCGTTAGCGAAGTTCAGAAACGGAAAATTCGGATTCGTTTGCATTCGTTATAGCGCTAATTTGGAATTCGGATGTCCGAATTTCCGAAATTTCGTCCGAGAAATATTAATAACAATTACAATGAAACACTGAAAAGGAAATAGGACATCACGTCGCCTCTCCATCATTGTTTCTTTATGAGACGCCAATCTATTTCGTAGCAGTGTAAAAAGAATATGATGCCAGCCCCAGCGGAGCTCGCAGTCCATCCAAGTTGTCTCTGGAGACAGGTAAGACGTCTCTTCACATTCTCTAATGCTGGCCACAGACCTTACAACCATAAGAAGACTTTTGTCTTGCGATGGTTGTAAGGTAATTAAAAAAATGTACGATCTGCCCATCTTGGACAGGCAGATCGTACTTGCGATAACCGATGAGGGGCGGGCTTCCGATGACCGCAATCAGGGCCGGATTTACTCTCCCTGTTCTTTCATTATTTCTTCTTATTTTTCAAAATTTTTATATTTTTTATAACTATTTTCTTCTTTTTTAATAATTTGTTTCTTTTTTTTTAGTTTTTAATTACCTTTTTATTTTTTTATTTCATTATTTTTTTAATTTGTATTTATTTAAATTTTTTATCTATTTAATTTTTTTTGCCCACCTAACTTTATTGCTATCACACAGGAAAAAAACAATCCCCTGTGTAATAGCAATTGGAGGTGACAGGTTCTCTTTATTGACCCCTGTCACCTCCAATACAGGAGTTCTAGCGCAGCGCTGTGCTGGAACTCCTGTGACAGGTGAGAGAGGAAGAGCGCACCGCAGCACAGCACAGCACGGCACAGCACAGCTCTCCCCTCTCACTGTCTACACGGAGCGGGAGGGTTACTTATAACCCGGCCACTCTGATCACTGCAGGCAGAGACTCGGGACTCGGCGGCGGAGGACGGAACCAAAGGAGAGAGGTAAGTGCAGGGGGAGGGGAGGACAGACGGACCGGCTGCACACTGTTTACATGTCACCGATTTCACATGTAAACGAGAAATCGTCTGCCTCACTCTACATGTAGCTCGGCTTGTACAAAGCAGGACTGAATGTAGAGAGGGCAACTTCCCCACAAGGACACCGCTGCCGACCCTCTGCGCCCTGCCGCCGGGCCTTGGTGGCCTTGTGGGGAGTCCGGGCCTAACGGCAATGCTGAACGGGCAGTGTGCGCTCGCGTCATTTATCTTACGAACATGCTACACACACCCGCCGAACACCGTACGATTCTCGGCGGGTTTTCGAACATGTTCCTAGGATAAAAGTCGCGCGACCGTACGGTAGAAACGGTCGCACGCCTTCCACACACCTTGCGATAATCGTACGATCGCGGGACTTCCCCCGCGATTAACGTACGATTATCGCAAGGTGTGTGGGCACCTTGATGCTGTTTTCAGGCTGCAGGGAAATCCAATGATATCCAGCGAGGGGGGAGGGGGCAATTCGCACAGGAAAACAAACTATTGGGAGTTACATTTCATTAAAGAAGATCTCTCGGCTCGATGTCACATTTCATTTTTTTTTGGCAGACATTTGAAGCCTTCACCAAGATCCTGGAAGACCTCCCCGAGGAAGACCATGTCGGCATTTTAAAGTTCAACGAAGACGTTTCCAGATGGAAGCAGAATCTCGTGAAAGCCGCGCCCGAGAATATCAAAAGCGCTAAAGAATTTGTTGCGCAGATCACGGCGCGAGG